GTTTTCCCAACTTTGCTACATGACTGCTAAGATTTCATAGAAATAAATCAACTGACGAGAACGCACGCTTTCTTCTCCGTGTCCACCACGTGGCCGTCACCACGAGTGTCTGTACTGACGCGGGAAGGACCTGCTTGTACCCGACGCACAAGGACAGCGAGATGGGACCTTGCATCTCCTAATGGAAATCATGCCCCTTTTCTCCAAAACCTACTCCCAACCTCCAGGCCCAACTCTCTGCCCCAAGCCTCGTGTGACGCCAGCATCCGCTGCCATCGGTGGGACTGAGAGCGAGTCCAGCCGTGGCCCTCCGTCCCTCGCCTTTGCAGCCAACCAGACCCAAAGCCAGTGCAAAGGAGGAAGAAGAGCAGACATTTTCTCCCCTGATGTCATACATCTCACTCCAGCTTCCGAGCATGTAGCATGTGTCTGCTGGGAAACCCACGCAACCCCCCTCCGACCATTTTACAGACAGGGAAACTGAGGGATGCCTTGCCCAAGGTTTCCAAAGCAGGTTTGCACTCGAGAGCACCTGGCTCCCAGGCCTGTGCTCAGGTCACTTCCACCACATGCAGCCGTCTCCCCGGCATCTTTCCATGTGCGGCCTATTCCCCCCCCAGCAAAGAGCTGCGGGCTTCGTGGGTTGTGGTTCACACCGTCCTTCCTGCTGGAGGTGGGGAAAAAATTTTCCCTGCAGAAAAAAGAGGGGCTCTGGGCCCTAAACCACAACTCGGTGGGGGACAGGCTCCCCCCCACCCCAATTCTTGGGAGCACGCACATCTCCCTCGACGAAACGGCTCGCACACAGCTAACCGCGACGCAGCAGTGACAACACCACTGCCCAGAGGGACCCCCTCCATCACACCCGTGCCCTGAGATTCCCACGGGGGGGAAGTGGAGGAGCTGCTTTCATCGGGGGGTAGCATGGAGCACCCCCTGCAAAGCGGAGATGTGCAAAGTGGAGTTGGCCGAGTTGTGCGTGCCATCCACACCCCCACTGGCCTGCACACCAAGCAACAGCCCCTCCTGGCTGCACCAACACGTCCACACCCCCTCCACGAAGTGACAGACACCATGCACGCACACGCTTACATCAGTGCCTCGTGAACCGCATCCACTCCTACACACGTGGACACAGATACTGCACCAAAAGGACGGGGTGTCCAGCAAAACCCCACAGCCCCGCTTGCACAAACCGATGCACGCAGCGTACAAACTGCGCAGACACCATTCAAACCTGCGACCGTGCCCACGCAGACTGACGCGGGCACAGCGCACTAGCAACACAGACGCCCGGCACCAAGGTCACACACACACACGTCAAGCCCCCTTCTCCATATGCACACACACACAAACCATGCGCACGCGCCTCAACATCGCAGACAAAACCACAATCCTTCCTGCGCACATCCCAACGTACGCCCCACGTGATCCCGCACACACCTTGGCATTGGCACAAACCCACAACCGCACACAGCTGTGGCCAGATGTGTTGTGCTTGGCCTGGCAACTTGTGTTCCTGTCCTCACCTCCAGGCCTGTATCTGGACTCCTGGCGGCCCCAGGGAAACTTTTAGCATCGAGCCCCCCTTCACCAGGGATAATGATAATAAGAATTGGACAACGGGGAAAAATTACCGTTTTCGGGTCCTCTTTCTGTCTAGGCCCTGGTTCGCCCGTGCCTGTTGCTCCCCTCAGGTTTACTATCCATTAACTCAATTAAATGGGAGCAAACAGCCCTACGCTACACCCCGTGCTCCAAGGAGACGCCTGGATATTGTGCCCAGCCTTCGCTGAGCTGGGGCCCAAAGGGAAGGGATTTCCTGGAGCCCCTCAGCCTTCCTGGGGGCCTGCTCCAGATGTGGCCTGCCAGTGCAGCTGTGCACAACTCCAGGTGCACCTCTGCAGCTGCCTCCCCCGAGGAGGAGAGGAGACAGCTGCCAACCAGCGTCCCAGAAAGGGTCTTGGTGGGGACTGGAGGTGGGAGCCTTCGTGTCTCTCCCCCCTTGGGCTGGTCAAGGCCCCGGAGTCGAGCTGCTGAACGCGGCGAGGGGGAAGGGCTCGTTGAGGCAATTAGCACTTCCCTCATCTGAAATAAAATGTGTGCACGCGCGCTTCTATATGGGGCTGCGCATTTCTCACACGTGCGAAAGTGCGTGCCTTTTATATAAGAGGGACGTGTGGGTGGGGTATTACATATAAAATGGTGCCCGCGTCTTCCATATATCGTCTACGAGGAGGGGACGGGCCGCGGTGTCACCGCGTCTCGGGTGGGAAGCGTGTGCGTGTACGGCGGACCCCAGGCGTGTGCACGCGTGACATCCGTGCAACCCAGACCGTAGTAATACGTGCAACGGTGTGTGCGTGTGTCGTGTGTGTGTGTATGTGTGCCGTATGATGTGAGCTGGAGTTTTTCCTTCCTATTTTTAGAAGAGTTGGTTGCCTTCCCTGAGCAGCTCGGGCCTTTGGCTGCTCGTCAGTAATCCGATGCCCGTTCACACGATAATATACATATTTCACGTCCTGAGTTTGTCTCCCTCTCCTAGCAAGCCAGGACTTTCTTTCCCCACCGCTTGCACAATCAGATACAGCTTTCAAACAACCACAAAGCTAAAAGGGGGTAGGGGGGAGTCTGCCTCTGGTTCAGAAACTCTACGTTCTCCTTGGAAACGGCTCCGATTCTGCATTTGGGACCCAAACTCCTCTGCCGAGCGGCCCGAGCTGCCGTCCCCTGGTTGGGGCTGGCAGCACCCTCCTCCTCCTGACTTGCTCGGGTGGGACGGCTGATGGAGCGAGGTGCTGCCGAGTGCAACAAAAGGGACGGCAAGCCGCCCCTTCCTGCTGCAGGGTTTTCTCGGGGGGGGGGGAGTCTCTCCCCCCAAA